TCTTTTTATGAACGTGGATTATGGTAGCTGTGTGGGACCCGGGGTGTGGGTAACGGTAAGGACCACCATGTGTGTGCCGGGGGGGGGGGGCGGAGGGGGTACAAGCCCAACTCACCCGCTAATAGCTCGTCCCTCGGCCTTCTCAGCTGAATGAACTTCTTCTAATTGGTAATGTGCTCTCCCAATCCTGTGCCAACATCAGAGCCGGGGGCAGGTGAGGGCTCCACACAATAATTCTCCGTGCTCGTGGCTTTGTTTCTGATCAACAGCATCAGAGCCTGTGCTGTCTGGTAAACAGAAGGAAATTAATATTTACCACTTATCTGTTATGTAGTAGAGACTGAGGCTTTATATCTTAAAATAAGTGGCCAGAAAGTGTCCTGGGGAGGTGACATTGATTCTAAGTTTTAAGTAACACAGAGGAGACAGACTGCAGAGACTGGGGTCCAGAGCAACCTTTTGGCAGAAATAATGGCAAATACAAAAGATCCAAGGGGGGCAAAGGAGCCTTTCTTGTGCAAAAAAAAAAAAGACAGAAGGTCGTGGTTGGAGGAACCCCGAGGTCAGAGCAGGCAGGAGCTAGATGAGGTGGGGCTGCCCAGGCCATGCTAAGAGTCTGCATTTGACCCTGGGGGACCACCGGGGGTTGCACGAAGGGGAGTATGTGCTCTGCCCTCCTTGAAGGTGATCACCTGGAGAAGAAAGTGTGTAGGGAAGGAAACAGTGGCAGGTGATTAGCTGGAAGTGGCTCCAGGGCCAGGTGAGAGATCACCATGCCCGGATGTCTGTGGTGGTGGTGGCGGTTGAAGGAAGTCAGTGGTCTGTTGGTTAAGCATCAACACTGCAATTAAGACCTTGAAATAGGGATCCCTGGGTGGCGCAGCGGTTTGGCGCCTGCCTTTGGCTCAGGGCGTGATCCTGGAGACCCAGGATCGAATCCCATATCGGGCTCCCAGTGCATGGAGCCTGCTTCTACCTCTGCCTGTGTCTCTGCCTCTCTCTCTCTGTGTGACTATCATAAATAAATAAATTTTAAAAAATTAAAAAAAAAAGACCTTGAAATATGGGCACTTGGGTGGCTCAATGGTTGACCATCTATCTCTGGCTCAGGTCATGATCTCTGGGGTCCTGGGATCGAGTCCCACATCGGCCTCCCCGCAGGGACCCTGCTTCTCCCTCTGCCTGTGTCTCGGCCTCTCTCTGTGTGTCTCTGGTGAATAAATAAATAAAATCTTTATTTAAAAAAAGACCTTGAAATATGCTCTCATGGGAGGTGAACCAAAATTATGTCTTTGGCCATGATCACAACGAAGCACCAACTTAGCACATGGGGAGATGATTGAGACTGAAATCTCTCTCTCCTTTTTTTTTTTTCCTCTCTCTCCTTTATTTCTACAACTGTTAAATTGTTTAGGAAACAGAGGGGGAAATCCTCCACTTCTACGGCAGATGGCAGCATCGCTTTGAGTTCCACACATCACGAGCCTCACGCAAAGCAGCAGGCCCAGCAGGCGACCAAAATCAAGTGTTTCAGCTCACCTCGGTGTCCCCAGGGGAAGAAAAGCACTTAGTCGGTCTTTATCATTGTCTAGAAAATCACCCTTTAGGAAGATGGTTGATCAGATTCTGCTTTATATATGTCATTTTCCCAAAAAGGCAACATGTCACCTTTTGAAAAGGAAGTGTTGGTTTTTCCTGTCTTTCCAGTCATTACAGAGCGCGTTCTGAGACAGGGCTAGGTGGGGAAGACAAGGGAGAGGCCCAGAGTCAGGCTCCCATAAATCCCAAAGACACCAAAAGGACCCAGAGTCAGGGTCCTAAGGAAACAGAGATAAGACAGTGAAAATAATTAATAATAATAATAAATAATAATAATAATTAATAATAATAATTAGACCCTAAGGAAACAGAGATAAGAAGATAAGACAGTGAAAATAATTAATAATAATAATTAATAATAATAATAATAAACCTGGCTCCCTAGCTCCAAAATGTTAGGGAGTATCTTCCTTTAATGGTTACCAAGTAATCATAGAAACTCATCAGACCTTGAAGAAATAAGTCATTAAGGATATATTAAAAAATAATAAGATGATATCAATAGTCCTGCTCAAACCAAGATGGCACGAGGATCTCAAGGCTTTGGGTTCCCTGGCTAGGTTCTCAATAAAAGGCCAGCCGAAAAGCCCTCAGTGGCAACCCTGTCGGGCCTCCTCTCACTTCTCAGAGCTTTCTCTGCATCTTTGCTTACTAAATTCCTATGGCTTTACTCATTCTCCATTGTCCCTGAGATTCATCCTTCGACTCCAGGAGACAAGAACCTAGCTCTCCCGTGTCAGTACTGTGCCCTGGGTGGTTCCCCGCCAAGTCCACGGTGTCTTTATCACCTTAACGGCAGGGCTCCCAGAGCTGTTTTCAGCCTTGTGGGGATGGGGGGCAGGGGTGGGGGTGGGGGGCTCTGGGTCCAGGCCCCTTGGATTTCAAAGCTGGCTCCCATACTTACTAGTTCTGTGGCCTCGTGCAACTTATTTGATGCTCGTGTCTCAGTTTCCTCATCTGCAGACGGGCATCATAGCAGTGCCTGCCACGCGAGCTTGTGGACATGAACCTGGGGCAGGATGGCAGGGTTCTTGTCTCCTGAGTCGGAGAGCAGGTCTCACAGACACAACCGGGGGGGGGGGGCAGTGAACATCTACTAAGTGAAGGTGGGAGCGGCAAGGAAAGGAAAAGCTCTCTGGTGTGAGAGGGGTCCCCAGTGGGCTGCCACAGAGAGTTTTCAGGACTGGCCTTTCATGGAGAACTTGACCAGGAAGCTGTGGCCTTGGGAGTCTTATGCCATCTGGGTTTGAGCAGGGACTAGTGGCAATGGCCTTAATGACTTACTTCTTTGAGGTTTGCCCATTTTCCGTGATTACAGTGTAGACGCCAAAGAAATGCACAGGGCCCAGCACACAAGGCCGAGTGGTCTGGTCTAGTCCTATCTCCTTCACTCTATCTAAGCAGCTTCTGCCTACCAGGAATAGTTTTAGGGCCTGGTCAGGGGCCCCCATCGCTCCCTGCCTATACCTTAACCCTTTCCTTGCTCAAAATGAGTTATAAGGGCAAAGCGTGAAGAGCAGCACTGGCCTCATGGCAAGCACAGTGGGAACGGCAGCTAGCGTTGTCCACACTGTGTGGGCACCTCCTGGGCAAGCACAGCTCTCTCTAGAGCACCATGTGGACTGGAAGCAACTGGCCATAGACTATCCCCCTAATCTTCCAAGGTTAGCATCTAGGGGGTTGAAACCCAAAGTTGCAGTGGACTGAGAAAGGCATAAAGAGTGTCCCTGCTTCTGGAATGATCTATACGCTAGCCCATGGAGAGGAAGGGTAGGTACTAAGTTTATAGCTCATCCAAACTCCCCCTCCTCTGGGTCCTCCTGACCTCAGAATTTGGCCTCTGCTTGAGGAGCAGTCTAGAAAGCACAGCATTTGCTCTCTAAGACTCCATCGGACGCCCTATTATCTACGCACCTGACCCTGATTCCACATCACATCAGCCTCAGTAGATGGAACCTGTCCCCATTCCAAAGGTTCCTCGGGGAAAAAGAGACACAGGATGTTACCTTTGGCCCTCAATACTACCATTGCTGGGGAGCCCATGAGGAAGGGGGACTTCAGGGGAATTCTTAAGGAAAAGGGATTCTTTCTGAACTTAGCCTCCCAGTGCTTTTGGTCGGAAAAGAGAAATTCATTGCAGTATGACCTTGACGGCGGGGTCAGTCATGAGCTGGTCTTTCTTTTGACGAGTGTCTGAGTCCCCGGGTCCACGAGCTGCATCAATAGGAGGAAAACACACGGCTAGAGGATTTGAGTATCTGTGAAACAGCGGCGGTGACCAAGGTAAGGGCTTCACGGACCTGCCTCTGGATCCCGCCCTTAGCCCCCATTGTCAGAGTCACCCAGGAGGTGCTAGGATAGGCCCGAAGCCCCTGTGGAAACGGCTCTTACAGGCATCACCCCCGTGACCTAACTGACATGAGCAAGTCACCTCACCTCCCTGGGTCTTCATTTCCTCGCCTACAAGCCAAGCATCAATGAGCTAGAACGGTGTTTCCAGAAGTGAGTTCCCTGCAACATTAGTCCTTTGAGTCGCTCCATGAAGACAAGAACTCTATGGCCTAAAACAAGGGGGTCACCAGGTGCGTTTTTGCCACTCACATTTGGCAATGTCTGGAGCCATTTTTGGTGGTCACAATGTGGGGAGAGGGCAGGGGTGCTCCTGGCATCTAGTGGGCAGAGGCGAGGGATGGGGCTAATCGTCCTGCCACCCACAAGAAAGGTCCCACAGCAAAGAGCCACCTGGCCCGATATGCTCTGACGTAGAGGAACTAAAGAGAAACTAAAGAGTTGGGGGTATACGTGACACATTCGATCACGTTCTTTCTCATTATTCTATCTCATTCTTTCTTTCACCCGAGCGTAATGAAGGCATGGGGCTGCGTCACCATAAATGTTCTTCAACTTGGTATTGGTCAAACTTGTTTGATCTTGGACCCCTGGGTCTCTGCACCCCCACCAACCTGCCCCATAACCTTACCACCCTTCTGCGGACCCACCTCTAGAGTGGGCGGCGCGGGGGGAGATGCTGGCTAGGGGATCCTGAAAGTAGTTTTCCACTTCTGACAACGTCTTAAAGACATTTTCCTCTGATGGGACACGGTGGTGGTGAGTTCTGAAGACAGCTTGGAATCCCGCTGCCTGAGTTCAGGGCTGGGGTGGGAGCTGGGCGGCCTTGGACAAGGCATCTCTAAAATGGCAGAAGTAGCTCGGCTCCCTCCATGGGGGTGCTGCAAGGGCGGAGGGGGCAAGCCTCGTGCGGCCTGCAGGTCGGCATCCAAGGCCCCGATCAAGGTCAACCCTTAATATTTAGGTGTTTGCCTCGTTGCTATTTTGATTTTGCAATTTCCTGACGACGTCATTTCCTGGCTCTGTGGTGGGTCAGATCTGCTCACGAGAGGGCGCTGGCAACCCAGCCTAGGCCGAGAAGGTTCTTAGATCTCCTAGGAAGGCCAGGCCCCTTTGGGGGTATTCAGGTCTGATTTCTCAAGAGCCGCAGAACCGCAGATGGCAGGGCTGGAAGAGAGCCCGCGGATGATTTAATCCACTCTGGATTTTGCAATTCTCAGCCACGGGAGGTTAAAGGAGGAACTGGTGAGTGGGACTCGGGAAACCGACCTAGTAGCAGGAAAACCAGCTTCGGGGATGGTCTCCGTGGTGCTGGGTGGCAGGACAGACAGTCTTATTTTTCTGGAAGCAGAGAAGCCATCCAATGGGTTAACAGCAATGCAGGGATGAAAGGAAGGGAAACCACCGGTATGGCCATGGGCGGAGGGGGGACCATGTGCCCTTGGACCACCTGGGAAGGGAGGGCTCCTGGGGCATAACTCCTCCACCTTTTGTTTTGTTTTGTTTCTGGAAGAAATCTGGGTCTCTAGTTTCCTGCACCTACATTGCTTAGTGGAGATAAAGAGAGTTTTGAAGGCTCCATATCAGGTCGGAGACCCCATGACAACAGCAGCATGGAAGGTGAAGGTCTCAGGAGTGCAATGTCCTTGTAAGAGAGCCTGCAGGGGTGCGGAGCAGGAGATGCTCCCCCCTCTCTCCCACCCCTTCCCCCTCCTTTTCCTCTTTCTCTTTCTTGGCTTTCTCTTCCTGCTTCTTAGCTCTAACAGTAAACACCTTTGTGATTTTGCAATAGCTTCAAGAATTACGGAAGTTGCGAACACAGTGCAGAGCATATCCATTTGCCTCGGCCTAGCTTCTCCCCAGTGTGGGCATCTCACCAGCACTCCTCTGGGCATATGTAGGTATGTGATTCTGAGACTTCTGTGAATAATGGCAGGAATGGTGCCCCTTTACCCCCAAGCATTTTGGTGGGTAGTTTCAAAAAATAAATAAATAAATAAATAAGGGCATAGTCTTACATAATCAGAAGTCAGTAAGGAAAATCAGAAAATGAATATTGATATAATGGCCCCTGGAATAAATTTTGAAGAGTAAGAAAAAGCTTTGAGGTGAAGACTGAGGAGAAGTAATTCTGGAGGGAGGAAACAGCTCCCTTGCTTGGAGGTGAGCAAGTGTGTGGCCCTGGGGACCTGGTCAGCTGGCGTGGCCTCCGCCGAAGCCTGCGCACAGTGCGGTGGCTCATCTCCTGGCTCTGCTCGCCCCGTGCGCTCCTCAGCCTGCTACCATTTCCCTTCGTCTTCCCTTCTCCCCTCCTCCCTGGAGGGCCCCCACTCAGCCCTCAGAACCCAGTGGATGTACTTCCTCTCTCCAGCTGCTGGATGGTGGTAAGGAACACAGGTGCAGAGTCCAGTGGGCCTGGGTTCAAATCCTGCCTCTAGCATGTTAGCAAGTGAATAATCTTGGGCAAATAGCTAACGTCTCCGAGACCCAGTGCCCTCCTTGCACAAACGAGAGGTGGTGGCTGGTGCCCCACTGCCTGTCACAGGTGTGGCAACTCTGGACAGGCTCCTCACTGCAAGACTGGCAGCCTGTCAAGTCCTTCCTGTGATTTCTGACTGTTTCTGGGCCTTAGTTCTCACGCTCTTCTCTCTTGCAGATTGCCCCACCTATGCATGCTGCGTTAAATTCAGACATGGGGTTCGACTTCTTCCCCATTTTCTTTTTTTTTTTTCTTCCCCATTTTCAAAGAAGAATTCAACATACTCACCACTTTTGAGCTTGGTAAGCTCCTTGAAGATTGGAGGGGCTGTGGGAAGATACCGTGTGGCCCACTGACTGGCCTTCTGCCCTCTTGGGGCCAGTGTGTCGGCCCCCTGGAACTCTGCTGCCACCCAGAGCCCAGGCATGCTCCCCCTTTGGTCCATTCATTAACCAAACTTCCCCCTTCCCACAGAAACTGAAGATTAGGACAAAAAGTTGGATCTCAAGGGGTAGCTGGTTTGGAGGTGGCAGGACAGGTGACCCCGCGATGGTCCTTACGGCTGCCTGGTAAGTGGCTTGTCAGATTAGTCCCGGTCCCACACCCCAGGGGCTGACCCACCCCCACCCTGCCTTCTACTTTCTCAACCCTTTGGACTACTCATTCTTAAGATCCTATGACATCGTCATCACTGATAAAAGTGTCACCTCCACAATATATTTTTTAAGATTGATTTATTTATTTGAGAGAGAGAGAGACAATGTGCACGCAGGGTGGGAGGGAGGGGCAGAGAGAGGTAAGGAGAATCCCAGGCAGACTCCAAAGTGAACACAGAACCAGACGCAAGGCTCCATCGCATGATCCCAAAATCAAGACCTGAGCCGAAACCAAGAGTCGGTCACCCAACTGACCGTGCCACCCAGGCGCCCCTCACCTCTGAAATCTTAACTTCAAAGCCTCCTGTTGTCTGAGCATCATCCCTTGACCCCCAGACCATTTACTCCACTGTGATGCTTAATTTTTTTTTTTAATTTATGATAGTCACAGAGAGAGAGAGAGAGGCAGAGACACAGGCAGAGGGAGAAGCAGGCTCCATGCACCGGGAGCCCGATGTGGGATTCGATCCCGGGTCTCCAGGATCGCGCCCTGGGCCAAAGGCAGGCGCCAAACCGCTGCGCCACCCAGGGATCCCTGTGATGCTTAATTTTATGTGTGACTGGATCAAGGGATCCCCAGCTGTCTGGTTAAACATGATTTTTTTTTGGGGGGGGGGGTGTCTGTGAGGGTGTTTCCAGAAAAGATTAGCATTTGAATTGGTTGACTCAGTAAAGTAGATGGGCCTCCTGTGGTGGGTGGGCATTATTCAATGGGTTGAGGGCTTGAAGTGAACAAAAATATGGGGGAAGGAAGAACTCACAACCCCCTTTCTTCTCTGCCTTGCTGTTTCAACTGGGACATCTCATCTCATCTCCTCTTGCCCTTGAACTAGAATTTACATCAAGGGCCCCTGGTTCTCAGGTCTTCTGACTTGGGCTGAATTATACCACTGGTTTTCTTGGGTCTCCAGCTGGCAGATGGCAGGCCCTGGGACTTCTCAGCTCTCATAGTCACGCGAACCACTTCTTCACAATAAATTTCTTTTATATCCTGTTGTCTGCATTTCTCTGGAAAACACTAATATTTCTGTTAGTCTCACTCCAGCAATTCTTCAACATTATTGAATCCCTCACTATCTTGGCCCTTATTCTTATCATCAGTCACCCCATATATTCAGTCCTCTGACCTCATCTTTCTCTACCTCATTTCCATTGGCTGAGCTTCAGCCACACCGGCCTCCTCTCTCACATCCTGTAGAAAAATCTAGCCTTGGTGTTCATTGTTTCCTCTGCCTACAGTATCGCCCCAATTTTTGTGTTTTGTTTTTTAGCTAAAAGCAATTTGTGATGAATACATGCAATATTTATAAGATACATATCACGTTTAAAGAAAAACAACATACCTTATATTCATGTACCCACCAATCATCAGTCATTTAACTGTCAAACTTGTGAGCTCCTCCCTGATCCCAACCCACTCTGAGATAAATGCTAGCCTGAATTTTGTATCAAGCATCCTCTTGCTTATCTTTATGGTTGGTTGGTCTGTATCTCTAAACAGGGCTTAGATTGCATGTTAATGAGATCATAGTATTTCTGCCACTTGCTTTTTTTCCCACTCTGTTCTATGTTCCTGAGGTTCATCATGATGTTGAATGAGGGTGTAATGCATGCCTTTTCGCTGCTATATCGTATTTTATTGCACTAAAATATCAAGGTGCAATTATCGATTTTATAGCCTACCATTGGTGGACAATGAGCCTATCCCACCTTTTGCTGTTACAACAAAACTACGAACATTCTCAGACACAACTCCTAATATACATGTAAAAGTTTCTCTGTGGCACATACCTCTGTGTGGAATAGTCGTTTCAAGGATATAAGCATGTCACTACTTTCCAGGTAACACAAAATTACTTTCAAACTGGTTGCACCAATTTGTCCTCCCTTCAGCCGTGAATAAGAATTCCTGTTGCTCTACGTCCTTGCCAATATTTGGCATCGCCTAACTTTTGAATTTTTGCCAGTCTGATAGGTATTAAAGTGATAGGATAGCTCATTATGCTTTCAGTTTGCATTTTGCTAATCATTTGCCTTGATCTCTGCAGTCTGGTTCCTTCCCTTTTGTCATTCAAATTTGGAATTAAACAACCACCACCTGGAGACTTTGTCACTCAACTACATTTATTTTAATTCTTACCATCTGATATTTCCTTTTCTCTCTTTTTAAAAAAATGTTTGTTGGCCTATTTTATTCCTTCCTACCCAGGCTTGTACGTGGTAGCTGTTTCATAGATTTATTGCATATTTGTTGAGCGAATGAATGGGCTAACTTCAATTCTGTTCAGACCAATACTTACTGGTTAACGGTGCTAGCTTTCTTTGTGTTAGGTTGGGTTCATGTCTCTCTTTCGTATTGCTTTCGTTCTCTTCTCATACATTCTCCATTGTCTTTGTTTCCATTACTGTCCACTTTTCTGTTTGTTTGTTTGTTTGTTTGTTTTTTCCACTTTTCTCTTTGGTCTCATTCTTGCTAAATTCTTTCTTCTTGGCAAGGTCTCTCTCTCTTGCTTACACCCTTGTTTCAGGTTCCCAACCTTCAGGAGACCCTACTCAGATATTTCAAAACCAACTTCTCCTGTACCCAGCTCTCTCTTGCCCTGTTTCGCATCCACTTGGGCAATGGTCACTCAGAAGCAGTCTGGATTCTAGACGACAAAGATGAGAAGACCAGACAAAAGCATCATTCATTCAGGTCATCTGCCAAGAACCAAGAGAAAGAGCTCTGTGGGTCCATGTCATTTGTTAGAGGTGATTAACTCTAGAGGCAAAAGTTACATACTGTCTAGAGCTCATTTCGACTTTAGCCTTCCCTCACCTATGCTGTCAAACTTCACAACCCTGGTATTGCAGTAGTAGGAAATAAGGGTGAATGTACCTGGGAGATAGAGCGATGTATCACCTAACAAAGTTTTAAAGACAAATAAGGGGTAAAGAAATTAATTTTGAGTAGTGGAAGTAATCTTAACTTTTTGTGTGTGTGCGATACTTTTCTGAAATATACTACCGTGTTACTTCTATATTTAAAATTCACTAGAACACACATTCAGCTTTCATCATATTTTTCAAATGTTGTTCTAAACAGCAGTTATTGAATGCTGCATAAGCATGGCAGATGAACAACATGCTCCTTTCCCCCCTAGGATCTTATTAAAATGACTGGAGAGGAAATAAGAAAATACAAAAGTCCAAGAGGACAAAGTGAATTGGATAAGAAACAGCATCAAATGAAAGAGACTTCAACAAAATTTGGGGTGCTAGAGGATTTGTAACTAATGTTGGTTACGTGAGCTCCCTCTCGAGAGGGAGATGGTGGCAAGTTAGGGTTTTATTTTCAGACCCACAGAAAGGTTCTGAACAACTGTGAGGTGCCATGCGGCAAAAGGCTGAGAACCTGGAATTTCCTAGAAATCTGTCGGGAGCGGTTAAGACACCCTTCCCTATCTTTGTGAAGTTTAGGCAACTGCCTTCTTGCTGGACTGAGAGACTGGAGGCTTATTCTTTAAAGAAATTGAACTTAAGAAACTCAGGAGAACCACAGTGAAGGAGAGTGGGGAGAGACAGGAGTACAAACTGAAGACAGGGGAATTAAGTGAAAATCTGCCCTTGGAATAGTAGGCTCTTCACTCCCTCCCCACACTCTGCTTTCAGGAAGTTGGCAGCCAGGCTTACAGTCCTCCCCAACCCTAGGGTGAAGATCAGAGGATTCTTCGCTGGACCCTTCAAATGAGCCTAGAGAAAAGATCCCAGATGCTGACACTGGAGGATCCTCCAATGAAAAAGCAAACTTGCCTATGATCTCCCTGAGATGAGGCCCCTAACCAACCACAGCTAAGCTTCATGCTCAACTACGAGTCAATAGGCAACATCATCAGACATTTTTGAATAGCTTCCAAAATGAAAGGGATGAGAGAAAGAAAGAGAGAGAGGGAGAGAAAGGACATTGAGGAAACATTATGCTGAAAATAGGAAAAAATAACTTTAAAAAGTTAATGTTCTGTGGTGAAGGAGAAAGGATGAGATTATAAAGGGGCAGCACAAGGGGGATCTTAGTGGTGATGTATTTTATGGGATCGAATGACAGAGAATTATACGAACACTTTGAACCAATGTCAGTTCCTTGATTTTGATATAATATTTCAAGAATGTAAGATGTAACCATCGGGGGATACTGGGCAAAGGAGTAAGAGGCACTTGGCACCTCCCTGTACTATCCTTGCAACTTCCTGCCAATTCTAGAATTACTTCATAATAGAAAGTTAAAAAAAAAAAAAAAACCTAACATCCCCAATGAATTAAGAGAAGACACTGAATCCAAAACAGGAATGAGAGCCTGTAAAAGTAAGCAAAGGAAGAAACATTTCTTTGAGGTTAAGAATGATACTTTTCCAAAAAATTAAAAGGCTACGAGATCATATGGAAGAAATCGCACATAAAACAGAAGTGAAGTTATAGCAGTGGGTGATGTGAAAAATAAAAGAGATAGATCCATCTAGAATGTTCAATATGAACTACCAAGACTTTCATACAGAAGAGAAAAAAAGAGGAGGAGGAAGTAGTGAAACGAGACAAAGCGATGCGACGAGATAAGCTCTGGGAACTGGAGGGCCGAGTTCCAGGTGACAGCGCTCACGGACTGCCCAGCGCAACAACCCAAGAAAGACTCACAGCAAGGCTCATCATTATGTAGCTGCACGACACGAGAGATAAAGGTTCCAAAAACTTCTGGAGAGAGAGACCAAAATAATAATAATAATAATAATAATAAAAAAACCCAGCAATCTACAAAGGCTCACGAGTCACCACATCCGATTGCCATCCAGATTTAGCAGACAAGGAGCCTCGCTGAGCCGCAGTGCTCTTCCACCCTGAATTTATAAGCTACACACATTGAGGTGAGAAGAAAGGCATTT